AGGTCCCCTACCATGTCATCCCCCGTTGCCAATACCAGATCCAGTATGGCATTCCCCCTAGTGGGACCATGTACCTCCTGTGTCAGGTGGAGGTCCTGTACACAGGTTAGAAACCTGCATGAGCGGTGGGACTTTGCTGTCTGTGACTCCCAGCAGATGTCCGGGTAGTTTAGTTCCCCCATGACTACTGCCTCTTTAGCTTTTATGGTCTCCGAAAGTTGCCTCAGGAGCCCCGAATCTCTTTCTTCCCCTTGATGTGGGGGTCAAGGATATAAAGGTCTTGCCCCATTCTTGGACCTGTTCTTGTGAAAGGGAGAAGTTGGTGCTGGATGCTGGATCCTGGATGCGCAAGCAAAGTGTATCCCGTCTCAGAGGAAAGGCAGCAAAAGGGCACAACAGCCCCCTTGGCTCTCCAGGGAACTAGCGGACCTCCTGCATCTTAAAAGGAAGACCTACAAAGGATGGAAGACTGGAACCACCACCAAGGAGGAATACTCTAATCTGGTCCAGACCTGCAGGGAGCAAACCAGGAAAGCCAAGGCTGCGATGGAACTCCAGCTAGCTACAAACATCAAGGAAAATAAGAAGTCCTTTTTTAGATATGTGGGGAGCCAGAGGAAAAGCAAGGGCAACATTGGACCCCTGCTAAACCAGATGGGACAACTGACAACCGATGCCCATTGTCACAGGGAGAGAAAAACCAGGGAGATTCCTGGGGCCACTAGGGGAACCCCAGGGCCAGGAGCCAAGGGTGGAACAGAAAAAAAGGAAGTAAGAAAAGGAAACTTACTCACTGCAGGATGGGAGGAGGAGCAAGGACGGCGGGGAAAGCCCACGCGGGGCACTACTCACACCTTATGGCACCTGCGGCCGGTGGATGACGTCACTCGCAACCACCGGCCGGCGGATGTAAAAGGGCCGGTAGTGAGAGGGAGAGGGGGCGCATGTGTGCCGGGAGAAAGCCTTGTCGGTGGTGTCAGCTGGGGACACGAGACGCCGGGAGTGACTGCGTGCGTCGACTGCGGTGGAGCGGCAGAGCCTGGCAGTGAGCCAGTGCCTGAAGCAAGGGCTATAGCTGCAGACAAGCCAGGAGGTGAGGCAGTAGCAAATCCCAGGGTGTGGGAAGGTCAATGGACCTGGGAAGACCTGGAGGGAGGACTGCTGCTGTGGCAAGACCCCGAGAGAGGGTTGCAGCTTGGGGAGGACCCAGAGAGAGGGCTGTGGGTCGGAGAAGACCCAGATAGAGGGCAGGAGACCCAGAGAGAGGACAGCCGCAAGGCAGGGACTCAGAGAGAGGGAAACTCTGTAGTGAAGACCCAGAGAGAGGGCAACAGTTCTGCGGAGACCCGGAGACGGGGGCGCTGCTCTCAAGAGATCCAGAGAGAGGGTCACGCCAGTGGAATACTGAAGAAGGAGTAGCGTTGAACCAGGATAGGTGGAGTGGGGGCACAGAGCTGGACCACATAGAGGCGGCTCAGTCAACAAGTGAAGGTGTAGAGGGGTTAGCTGTATTCCATGAGGAAGCCCAACATGGGCAAGGTGTCCCAGGGGAGCTGGGACGCTGAAGGAACGCCGGGGCAGCAAAGCGTCCTACTTACCTCCCACAGAGCCAGAAGAGCCGGGGGAGGCGCGTACGCCAAGGACGCCGGCGTGGTTGATCAGCCGGGCATTTATCCAGCTGCGGCAGAGCAGCGGGGGCGGAGGACGCCTCCCAGAAGAAACAAAAAGCGGCCCCGCCGAGGCAGCGGGGCGGCTGATGAGGAGAGACCAGGGGAGTGAGCTCCAGTGTGGAGGAGATCAGCAGCTGCACTCAGCGGCAGCGAGAGCAAGGGGCGGAGCCAGGGCGGGCTCCGAGAAAGCCGGCAACACAACCGGCAGCAGTGCTGGCGGTGGGACCGGCTCCGACGCTGTCAGCAGCGCCGGTGAGGAAGCCAGCTGCATTGTAGGCAGCAGAGCCGGTGGAGGAACCGGCGGCGTCTGGAGCAGCAGAGCCAGGGAGGAAATTGACGGCATTGCAGACAGCAGAGCCGAGGAAGGAACCGGTGGCATCCTGAGCAGCAGAGCCGGTGGAGGAACCGGCGGCGTCTGGAGCAGCAGAGCCAGGGAGGAAATTGACGGCATTGCAGACAGCAGAGCCGAGGAAGGAACCGGTGGCATCCTGAGCAGCAGAGCCGGTGGAGGAACCAGCTGCGCTGCAGGCAGAAGGGCCAGCAAGGGAACCGGCCGCATTCCAGGCAGCAGAGCCGGTGAAGAAATCAGCAGCCAGATTAAGGAAGGAGCCGAGGCGGAAGGACTGGGCTGGCGACCCTGACAGACGGCACATTGAGCCGAAGACCTTTACAGACGGACGGCAGGTTGGGGGTAAGACAGCGGCAGGCCTAGGACACCGTGGAAGCCAAGAAGAGGTAGAGCTACAGGTGGCGAGTGGCCGGGGTGAATGGGAGGACGGAGCCCCAAGACTAACCACGGAGG